AGGATCTGGGTGCTCAACCGCCCAGTCTGACCCCGCTCCCTCGAGGGACTCCAGTGAACCCTGACAGCAGAGTGGAAGGCCACTGCTGTAACACACTCCAGTGCCTACTGGAAGACTTACAGTCACCAAGATCCCAAACTGACTAGGTATACGTCATGTACACACGTGTTGCTTTCCTGCTGCAAGTGGATGAGTTTTTAAATTCTAGGGAGACAGCTCCTGGGGTTACTGTTGCATATTAACTTATTCTTGAACATTAGACTTAGTGTCCATTTTCCTAGTACTGCCTGGATAATAATTACCATGTTCTCACTCCTTACTGTGTGTTGGGTTCTGTGCTATGCACTTCACATGCATTGTCTCATTGAATCTTCCTAAAGACCCTGTGAGGCAGGTAATACTGGGCTCATTTTACAGATAAAGAAATGGGGACTCAGAGAGGTTAAGGCATGTATCCATCAGGGCTGGGACATGGCACAACTCCAGAGGGCGCCAGTCACATTGTTGCCTATGTAGATGGTGCCCTCTGGGGTTGTCCAGTTCACCTGGTGGCCTTGCCCAAAGTAACAGTCTAAGGGGTGGCAGAGCCAGGATTTCAGACTCCAATGCCAGAGCATTTAATTTTATACAATTCTGTTAAAACTTTCCACTTCTATAAGCTACTTTATTTCTTCTGCCTCTGTCTACTTATTTATTTGAATGTCAGTCTGTCCCGCCACCTATTCATCTGTCTATCCATCCATCCATCTATCCATCCATTCATGCATCCCTGCCTCCGTCCATCTATTCATCCCCTCACCTAATCATCCATTTAGTGGAATCAGTGAAGTTACTAAGTATCAGTAAAAGATCTGGATATACAGTTTCTTGAAATATATCTGGAAACATTAATTCTCTAATATTTATTCTTATTTTAAATTCATTTGACATAAAAACTTAAATCATCGACTATCTAAAACTAGAAAAGAAAAATTTCTAGAAACCCATGTATCAACAATTCAGATTTCATATTATGCCATATTTACTTCAAATTTCCTTTGTCCCTCTTTTTTAAAGAAAGAAAATAGAGCAATGAAAGTCAAAACCCACCTCCTCTCTTTCACCTCTTTCTGTTGCCTAAAGATGGCGTGTCGTATGCATGTCCCCTTCCCATGCCTGGTTTTATACATTTACTGCACCTGTATGTATCCGTAAATAATACTTACTACTGTTTTGAGTTTTACAGTTTGCACTTACCATCTGTATGCTTTTGCACCTTGCTTGTTCTTCAACACTGTATTTTTTGAGATTTATTCATTGTGACACATATACATCTAACTCGTGTGCAGTTAGGTTGTTTTTTTTACTTCTTTTGCTATTACAAACAATGCTGTCGTGAACATCTCGGAATGTGTCTCCTTGTTCGTGTGCACACAAGCTTCTGTAGGGAAGACACCCAGGAGTGGGATTACACATCTTCGGTTTTCCTTTTGGAAATGTTCTCCATGTGGTTGTGCCTGTTTACCCACTCCAGCCCGAGACAAGGGTTTCTATTTCCCCACGTCCTCAGCTACACTTGGCGTTTTCTAGTGGCTATCAAATGCTATCTCTGTTTCCCTGAGAATCACTGCATAGTTATATAGGTCATTCAGGTTTCTTCTTCTGTGAAATGCTTATTCATATTTAATAGCCGTTGCCTGTTTTTCTACTGGGGAGTCTCTGCCTTTCTTATTGATTCATAGGAGGGTTTTTGTTTCTTTCTTTTTCTCTTTTTTCAATCTTTTCTGGAAACAGATCTTTTGCCAGTTAATTGCATTGCAAGTACCATCTCCCACTACTTGCTTTTTTTTAACTTGGTTCTGCCTGTTTCTGTAGGTTTTTGTCACTTAATTTTATCCTTGAACATTTTTAAAGAGACAAGTCATTTAATTATAATACCCTTACGCAATATCATGGAGGTGTATGTAAGTAAGTTTTTTCTACATTTCTATAGGAGAAATTTTTAGGAAACCATTTATAGAGCTCTTACGATGAGTAATGCACTATCCTAAGTACTTTACAAGTACTGATCAATCCTTTTAATAACACAAGGAGATTGACATAGTTGCTATTCCATTTTAAAGATGAACAAACAGAGGCCCAGAGAGATTGAGTTATTGCCCCAAATTATGCAGTGATTAAGAGATGGACCTGAGGTTAGAATTCAGGGAGTTAGTTCCAGGGCTTGGGTAACCACTAAGAAGAACCACTTCTTGAAGTCACAGTTCCTGCTCTCCAGAGCTCACTGGAAGAGAGAGACACGCGAGCAGGCTCCATTCTGCAGTGAGACAGACTTGCGGGAACACATATAGGGGGTTGGGGAGGACTTCCTGGAAGAAATGGCCTTTGAGCTGAGTGAATGAGAATGAGATATTTGTGCTGGAAGCTGACAAAGGGAATGGTGAGAGACAGTGTGTGTGTGTGTGTGTGTGTGTGTGTGTGTGTGTGTGTGTGTGTACACTTCCTATGGAGGGTGGGGAAGGACATTCCAGGCAGAGAGAATAGTATGTGTAGAGGCCTGGAGTGAGCACAGCGTGATCTGGGCGCTATGAGCAACCCGGTATATTTAGAAGGTGGAATTTAGGGGTGGGGTGATTAGAAATGAGGCCAGGAATAGTGCCTGGTATTTGGCTGCCATTATTATTTAATATATGAATAGATGAAAGCTTTTAGTGTTACAAATGCAATCACGAGGCAAGCTCTTAATTAACTGGAATGCTTAAGGCATTGTCCTTTATAATTAGGAAGGCTGTCTCCCCCAACCTCTTTGGTTTCAAACTTTGTTCGTGAATGTGTGAGGAAATGTGTGTGTCTTCCTTATATCAATAAACACATTTTCACAAGCCCACTTCAGTCTTTTGCAGCTGAAGCTCTTTCAGGTCTCCCACGTAAGCATCCAGAATATTATAGGTCATTATCTATTACTGGTCATTACCTATTTCTAGGTCGTTACCTAAAGGTCATTACTGGAGCTGGTGATGTTGCTGGTTGAGAAATGTGAGTTAAATGAATTTATTCCCTATAAGACACATATGGTGTAATGTGGGTTATTCATGCTTAGGATTGGCTTGTTTTCAGGTAGGCTAGAACTATTATGAATTAGAATTTTTTCCCATTGATTCAGCTCATTAGTACCAGGAACAGACAGGACTTTTGGCTCCTTGTGCTGATCTAGCAGTTGCTAGAGTGTTGTTTTGTTAGGCAGAAGTTAAGGAAAGGAGAAATACAAGTCTGGCAAATGAAGTAGTTAGCAGTGCCTTAATTCTTACCATAGTGGTTTTTTGGCCTCGTCTGGTTGGGATATTGTAGTCATGAGGCCAAGAACAAGGTCACCGCGTGGATCTGCTTTAATCTACGTCCAGGGCTGACTCCACAGATGTTGCTCTGCCCTAGAGATCATGGGGATGATGCATAGCCAACTCCTCACAGCAGGTCAAAGCCCGCACTCTAACATCCTGTGCTGGCAGTGGTCAGTTGCTTCCTTTTTGCATGTAAATTATTTATTTATCGGGGCCCTTTTTGGTATAGCCAGGGCTGGCATGGGGGTGTTTCCTAAGCCCCGGAGAATCAGTGCGCCTAGTGTGCCTTTGCTGTCCCTTTTGCTGGACAATGTCCAGCCTTCGTGGCCACTGTCAAGGGTGGTAAGGGGAGGAGGGAGGGACTAGGGATTCCCTTCTGGCTTCAGGGAGAGTTTCCTTTATTCCAAGCTGGGAGTCACTGCAGTCTTATGGATGGGTTGAGGGCATTCAGGGAGGCAATAACAAATCCCATCTCGCTGCTCAACCCGTGGGAAGTTGCTGGTGGGGAGGGAGATGTGTTTTTTGCCATCTTGAATTCAAATTCGTGAGGTATTTTTCCACAGGAGCTATGTTATAAGTGATATTTAGATTTTTAGGGCAGCCCACAAAGCTCTGTTTGCCTAAAGTGTAGCTGAAGAAGAAATGTGTTTTGGTTAAGTTACGGTTTATAAAAGGCAATGTTTTTCAAACTATTTTCCCCCTGCAGTGGAATCTCTCCTTCAGATGAATGCACAGGGAACTGCAATATATATAACAGATAAATGCAGAACTACTCTGGTTGAAGCAAGATTCGGCCTCATGGTCACTAAGTGTTGGTCCCTGAGATTCACTTTCCTTTTGGGTTGACGTCACTGATCACTGCTGCCATCATCCCTTCTTTCCAGAGAGGGCGCTGTCCACCTTTCTGCTGCATTGCAAGGGGGAGGGGTGGGTACACGACTCTGTGGTCAAGGGAAAACTAGTGGTTCTAAAAACTGGTCTGTGGATCAAGTTGCATAAGAATCACGTGGGAAATAAAAAACAGATTTTAAAAAAAAGACAAATAACCAAAACGATCTAGGGCTATTCCTCAAAATTCCAATTCAGTTGCCCTAGACTAGGTCGTGGAATCTTTACATTAAAAAACTACTCCAGAGGATAAAGATGTTTGGAAGCTTGGACACCAGCTGCCTTCAGTTCCTGGCTACCTCCTGGCCAGAGGGTGTCCCTCCCCACCACAGAGGAGGAGGCAGATCCAGATATGGGAGAAGATCTGAGGGAGGGACAGGAGTATCTTCCTTGCCTGTGGCCTGCCCGGTACAGACTGGCTGTTGGTTGGAAATCTGTTTCATTTCCATTAATTGCCAGGAGGAGTCTTCACAGCCCTCTCCACGCAGGGCTGTGGCCTCACCCTCCGGCTTTAACTGAACCAGTGCAACAGAATGCAATTCATTTAACCTCCCCCAGAGTGAAACCACAGATGGGAGCTGAGGGAGTCTTTTCATATTACTAATCTGGGAACTGGTTCCCTGATGTCTAAGGTTTTAGAATTTATTTATTTATTTGTTTGTTTGTTTGTTTTTAGAAATGTGCTCCAAGTCTAATGATCCATTTAAAGGAACAATCATAGCCACTAAAGCTCTTGGAAAGAACCCTGAAGACTTTGTGTGACTCTGTGTTTTGTTAACGTTGTCAGGATGATCCCCCTGATCCTGGATTGTTCCGAGTCAGGCCAAAGGCAGCCCGGGGGAGGCTCTGAAGTGTGGGGCCCTTCTAAGCACAAGACCCTGTGTGACTGAACAGGTCACACACCCATGAAACTGCAGAATCCATGAGGTAAGAAGTTTTACTATTACTCTTATTATTTCATGCCTTCCACTTCCTTTCTGTACCCTACATTTGCCAGTAATAGCCATGCACGCCCTCCCCCATCAAAGCACATGCACAGGTATTCAAGTGTTCTTAGGGTCCCTCAGGTCTGTGGAGTTTGCTTTTGCTTTTTTTTTTTTCTTTTTTTGGTTAATTTCTTGCTTGAACCTAATAACAGAAATCGCTGATTATAAGGAAAATCATCCAGAATGTCTCCACTTACATATTCTGCTTTTCCTTTCCTTTTCCATGTCCATATCTGGGTGTAATTATACCAGTTAATTTTGTATTCTCTTGATTTCCATGTTATTCGATAGTTTTCCTAAGTTAGTTTTCAGAAAGAAAATTATTTTAAAAATTAATGAAATGTTAGTTCATTGTTAACAATTACAACATAGGTTCTAGATCTTGAAGAAGGAAACAGGGGCTGGGGAGGGAGGAAACAGGAAGGAACCAAGAACTGGAGAGAAAGACAGAGGAGAGACTTAAGGGGATTAAGGGTTTTGGGGAGTGGAGTTTGGGGTCCCAGATGCATGAAGAGCATACTGGTTGTTAATAATAATAACAACAACAACAACAACAACTTACATGTTGTGCTGAGTACTTTATGGAGCTCATCTCATTTGATCTTCACAATAACCCAAGACAACAGATGTGACTGGTATCACTAGGAAGCAGAAGAGGAGCCTGAGGCACTGGGAAGTTAAGTGACTTGCCTTGGGTTATATGACTAGTTAAGTGTTGGATCAAAATTGGAACAGCTCAGGCGGGCTGCTGCAGAACTTGTACTCCTGTGTGCTTTGTGTTTTGTTGTTATGGCTGTTATTGTGACTGAAGTATTTTAAAGCAAGTTCCAGTCATTAAGGCATTTCACCCCTCCATACTTTATTATGTGTTTCTAGAAAATATGGATATTTTCTTATACAACTATAGTACCATTGTGATATTTAACAAAATTAGTAGTAATTCCTTGATATTGCATATAGTCCAATCATATTCAAGTTCCTCTAGGGACGAACCATAATTTAACTATTTTTCTCTACTCTTTTATATTTTGTTTAATTTTCTCTCTTTGTAAAATACGCTTCAGTGAACCTCTTTGCAAATAGAATACTTCCTATCATTTCATTAAAATAAGCACCCAGATGTGGAGTTAGATTGTCAAAAGTTATGATCATTTTAGTGGATACTGAAATATTTGAAAACTATTCTCCATAGGAATGCTTTTTTTAACATTAAAAAATTAAAACTAAGGTTTCTCAGATTCAGTCGGAAGATCCCATGAGTTCTTTGGGTAACCACAGACTCAGGGGTGGGTGTATAATTGAAGGTTGGTCCCTACAATATTTTCTGATATCTTTCAAAAAGGTGACAAAGGAATTTGCATTGTATGACCCAGAACAACATGTCCAAGAGAGGCAACCCACAGTTCAGGGAAGAAATGAAGATAACTGAAGTGATGTCCAGATAGAGTGACTTAGTCTGTCACAATATTGTGATTTGGACTCACTTTAATACATCTGTTTTATAGGGGATTTTGTTTTTCTTTTCTTATGTTCTAATGGATTCTAGCTTGGCTGTTCTAATGATTCCACCAACAGCCACTTTAGATATCCATTTCAAAATGACTCTTAGTCAGTTTAAGTGTCATGGAGCAAAGTAAAAACAAGAAATGAAAGTCTTACCACTTTCCCCAGTGCTTGCTGTTACATGCCAGGTGGTTGTTCTTGTCCTTGCTTTGCCTTTTTCATTAGATGATGTTTTGCAGGTGTCTTCTGTACGGAGTACTTTGTTGTCTTTAGGAATGAAGAATGTATTACAATGGTAATTTCATAGAAAGGATAAGTATTTAGAATAGTAGTCTCACTGGTTCCCTCACACCCTCATGCCTGCCTCCTTACCTAAGTCTGTAGCATCTTTTCTTTGCTCATCAGATAGTACTTGTTGGCTATATTAGTTAGGGTTTGACTAAGATGCTGTAACAAAGATACTCTAAAAGTACAGTGGTTTAGAAAGGTAGAAATTTCTCTCTCATGTAACAATTCCGAGGTGGTCCAGGTAGATGGGGCCCTTCTGCTCCATACAGACAATTAGAATCCTGGGCTCCTTCAATTTTTAAACTCTGTCATTCCCTTAGGATATAGTCATTGTCTGCATGATTGAAGCTTGGCCCCTACTATTCTGAGTTCTAGTTTCTGGGAAAGAGAAAGAGGAGGTCTGGGACCACAGAGTTCCTTTTGGTTCAGAAGTCATACACGTCACTTCCACTCATATTCCTTTGATAAGAACTGAGTCACATGGCCACACCTAACTGCAAAGGACGCTTACAAGTGCAGTTTTGGGCTAAACAGACTTGTGTCCAGGAAGAAGAGGAGACCAGATTTTGATGGGCAAGTAGCAGTTTATGACATTATCTATGAACATAGGTTCTAGAGTCAGACAGACATGAGTTCCAATTTTGATTCTGTCACTGACCAGCAGTGTGAACCTAGAAAAATGATCTATCATCTTGATTTTCTTATTAGAAAAGTGGAGATAATAATTTCTATTTTATGGGGACTGTTATGAGAATCAAGTTGAATGAGTGATTTAATTACAAAGCACTTGAGAAAAAGCGCTGGTGGTTAAAAGCATAGAATTAGGAATCGGACTCGCTGAATTAAAATCCTGGCTTTATCTTTACTAGCTGTGTGGTTTTCAAGAAATTATACAAAATTCTCAGAGATTCACGTTCTTCTTCTCTAAAATGAAGATACCATTAGAGCCTACCTATAGAAAGAATTCAATGATGTACTCCATACTGGGTTTATTAAATGACTTATTCATGCTCAATAAATCATGGTGGTCTTTTTGTAGTTATTATTATGTCTGTTCATTTTGAAAACTCCTGAGTGTGTCCCCCAAAAAGAAGTAGTAAGTTTAATTTGTGTAAGCATGCACCTGTTATGAGTTGCTGCATTCTCTTACACCTCTTGTTACTGCTTAGCTCCTACATCCTGTTAACATGTTCACATATTCAGCTTGTAAACAAGTTCCTGTTTGATTTCTTGGGTAAGCATCCACTGATGACTTTATATTCTAAGTCATATAGGCTAGGCTGTTTAGTGTGAATTCCATAGCTTGTCTCAGAAGTTGAATACATTTTTTCCATAATGGTCTCAATCCCATCAACCATTCTGAATGGATTAAGCTGGCCTGAAGAAATCTCTCTGTGGATAGCTAAGCAATGTAATAAAAATGGAAAACTCAGGGATGATACACGGCTGTTTTAACCTCAGGATATCTCTCTCTCTCATATCATGGCAATGACCCTGAATTATAATTTTCAGGTCTGATTTTGAGACTTATTTGCAGAATTCTGCTTCTCTGATTTTATGCAGATAACCTGAAGCCCTGTGATTGCTCCTCTTCTCTCCCAGGGACCTTCCACGATTCCCATGTGACTGCAGGGACACTTGCCTCTTCCCCAGCTTGCCACCCCCTACTTATAGAACTGACACACCGCTCTGTTGTACCATTGTGCTCTCCTGAGTACTGTGGCATTCAGCCTGGCTCCGGTGATATAAAATGAGGGGGTATGGATGCCTTTTTCAAACTTGAGACTAGCAAAAGACAAAACCCCCTTTTGTTCAAAACCATTAGAAGTGCAGTCTTGAGTTCCTGAGAAACCGTAGGATGGGTCCTTTTCTTCCCCACACCCCCACCCGCTGGCTGCTGTAGTTTTGCATGAAGTAATTGAGCAAATCAAATACCAAACCTATAAAAGGTAGCATTATCAAAGTGAATGAACGAACGCTTACCTAGCAGAACTGTAAGACATGGGAAAATAGGAAGACAAGTTAATGATCTAGAAATTGTATAGCTGTGCTGTCTTAGAATCATGGCAAATGGAACATATGGCATTGGGTCATTTTTTGCATTGATATGAAAAGAAAATGAGTTTATTTTACAAATAAATGGAGTTTGTGTTTCTGTTTGCTATTCATGACAATAATGTTTACCTCTCTTGAAATAGAAATATGTCACCTAAATATTAAATATAGAGAAAGATTTTTTCAACTATTAATGAATAATTTTTCTTTACATACCGTGCCTTCATCCACTTCAATTAACACTTTGTGCTTTTCTCTTCATTTGCTATTACTTTGTCTGATGAGGCTGTCTGTGAACAGAGGCATCTTAAGAAAAAAAGAGGGAATTGGTGAAAAGACAGACATGTTAAAGTTAGTATTTGCCTGAGTATTAGAATTTTAGATTAAGGTCTAGAATCAAATTCACTTCATATTCTCGTGGATTTTAAGATACAACAGTTTTTCTATTTCCTATTTTGAAATTCAGAATAGGCCCAGGATTATATTAAAGTTGCCAAAAATGAAAAAAATATGCCACATTCATTGCTGTCATTATGGTGGACATTTATTATTTTTATCTTCACAGCATCCTGATATCAGAGGCCTTCTTTTCCTTATGGAAACCACCCTGCCCTATTCTCAGTTCTTGTGACCCAAGTGTGGCCAATCAAAGTTCACAGTAATTGGGTAAGAAATGGGCTGTGTCTGAAGCCAGGTTAGTCTAAGTCAGCTTAAGACTTTTGAGAAAAAGAAGTTCTCTATCCATTGAAATTTCTAGGCTAGAGAATGAAGTATAAAGCTGACAGAGGCCATGTAGTCTTCTCCATGGTAAGAGTCTGCCTGAGACTGAAGCCAGCTGGGGGAAAATTAACTCAAGAGAAGGAGACAGATTTCTGCCATATTGTCTGAGCCTGAAGTGAGATTTAACCTATTAAATTTCTTATATCACCCCCTGCCCCTGACTATTCTGAACTGGTTTTATCAACTTACAGGTGGAAGAGTTCTGGCCACTACAGTCATCATGATTTTCCTCAGGGAGCATTTGTTCGACACCTGGGTCATTGCGTATTAACTACTTCACAGGTAACAGGAAAATACAGTATTAGTAGAATGGTA